GCACCACATTGGCCTTCTTCCAATCTTCAGGCACTTCACCAGAGTGCCAAGAGCTCTCAAAGATCTGTGCCAGGGGCTGAGCTATGATGCTAGTCAGCTCCTTGAGTACTCTGTGGTGTAGACTATCAGGGCCAGCTGACTTGAAGGTGTCCAGCCTCTCAAGGTGTTCCTTCACGAGGTCAGCACTGATGGAGGGCAAGGACCCGGGCCTCCCTGTCTCATAATGGGCAGGGGCATCCCATGGGACTGGTAAAAGAGCAATGCAAAGTACCCATTTGGTAGGCTGGCTTTTTCCTGGGCGTCGGTGGTCAGTAGTCCCATCTGGTTTAGCAGGGGTCCAATGTTGCCCTTGCTTTTCCTTCAGCTCCCCACATATCTAAAAAAGGACTTTTTATTATCCTTGATACTAGTAGCCAGTTGAAGTTCCATCACAGCCTTGACTTTCCTTGTTCGCTCCCTGCAAGTCTGGACCAGTGCAAAACATTCCTCCTTGGAGGTGGAACTCATCCTCAATCCTTTGTAGGTCTTTCTTCTTAGGTGCAGGAGGTCCGCTAGTTCTTTGCTGAGCCAAGGGTGGCTGCTGTGCCCTGTGAGTCTGCAAGCTTTTAAGTGTGCTTACCAAAGGCATAAGCTAATCACAGTTCAGTCCCCTGCAGACTGCCTGATGTTATGTCCTGTCTCTTGGTAGTTAACTTCTGGGGGCAGCGGGGAGCTGGAAAGGGGGTCTGAAGCAGACAATTTCCATTTAGTTTCCTCCTGATATTTGCATTTGTATTTAAAATAATATCCCCCACCTTTCATCAGGAAGAGTCCCAAAACTGCCTCTTCAGACATGAACAGAGGGTTGCAGGATCAGCCCTTACACTACAGACAGATATCACTTTTTCTGTTTTAAAGTGTAGCCACCTCTGGGCTGGAACATGTCATATATTATATGACTATCAGGGTACAAGGTAGCAAAACAACTTTTTGGCACAGAGTCTGATTTATTCTACTGGTGAAATGAGAGAAGCAGAATGTAATTCTGCACATTGGGTGACACCACATTTTTTAGTATCAGCTGTGGAAAGTCTGTTTTGTTGTTTCCCGCCCCCACCCTGAGTCAGGTGAAGCAGCTAACTGTACTGACTTCAGCAGAATCACTCCTGACTTATACTGTAGGCACCTGGAAGCTAAACCTAACAACAGCTCCTTAAATAGGTATTTACCTTTATTCGTGTGACTAGTCCCTTTTAAGCCACTAGGTTTACTAATGTTTAAGGTGCTTTACTGGGTCAGGGTCATAATTTCCATCACATAATTTTCAGGCATTTTTCTTCAATGTAGCTTTAATCAGTGGCAGTAGCCCCCATCTGTATCCTTCATCTATCCCAGTTGGGGAAAAAATGATGGGCTTTATGCTCTTTCTAAATGTGAGAGGTTCTGTGGCTGCTGTTTGGGAGGTAAGAAGGACTCTCTTGCACACAAGTCTCCCAAGTGTAGCTCCCAAGTGACAAAACCAACCTGAAGAGTTTAAAAAAGCCCCTCTCCAAACAAGGGTTTGGGGATCGGCTGCCAGCTGGTTGTGATGAGCTAACTGGGCTTTCCTGATTGTGTCTCTGGCCCCATAGACAGCACTATCTGAGCTCTGTGGGCATTAGGCAGGGAGCTTCCCTGCTCTTGTCATTCAGCTGCTTGGAAGGACTCCAGGCAGTCACATGGCTTATCTTCAGCTTGCATTAACCCAAGCCAGGGATGGGTGCTGCTGGAAAGCTGAGTCAAGGTCCAGTACTTATGTTCATGCCAGATGCAGACAGCTGTTGTGTGCTGCTGATGACCCAGCTGCAGCCCACAACATGTGAGGAATGTTGGAATCAAGCACCAGGGGGTGGAATTATGCAAAGGTATCTTCCCTAATAGCAAAAGGCTGAGGACTATGAAACACTCTCCTTCATATATGTAACAGGCCACGTAACCATTGTTCCATTCTAGAGGTTCTGCATGACAGACCTGGCAGAGGTGTCACATTCGTTCCATAGCAAACAGTTCTGCACCAGCAAGGAGTACCAGTGGGAAGACCAACCAGGCCCCTTCCCTCTCTAATGTCCATGAGTCTACACCCCTGACTCTTGTCCGTTCCTATTATGATGGAGACAGCTACAGATGAGGCAATACTTGATCTAACCCTAGGAAGTTCTGTGGGGACATCAGTCATTACTACACTAATCAGTAGTGAGACTTGTTAGGGGGTAGGCAAGTGGGGCACCAGTCCTAGGTGCTAGTTCAGATGGGGCACCAGAATGGCAGCCCCCAGGGAGCCCATGCCACTGCCACAGCTGGCGTTGGGGGAGTTTGTGCTGAAGCAGCCTGTTGCACCACTGCCGTGCTAGCGCAACCTGTGTGAGGAGGCAAGTGTTCCCCTCCATGCCAGTCTGAGCACCAAAAATGTCAAGTTACACCTCTGCTGCCAACCAAGACAAGGGCCACATTGTACCAGACACATTGTGCACACCTGCACACAGAAAATAAGAGCTAGGCCCCTCCTCCAAGAGCTTTCAGTCTGAGTAGACAAGATAAACAGAGGTGGGAACTGAGGGGTCAGAAGCATGTCATGTATGCAGTGATATAATTTGCATCACTTTTGTAAATTATGCCAGAATCGGGAGCAGACCAAGAACCAGCTCTCCTAAGGCAACTGCCACAGGAGGTGCTATTTTAGTACCTTACCACTAGGCAGAAGCCAGGGCATGGTAGCATCTCACAGATCTTAGCAATTAACTCATTTGGCAAGGCTTAAGCTTTTATTGGCCATGGCCTACTTCATCAGCTGCCACTAGGCATGTCTACACATGTATTAATGGGCTGTTGCTACTGTGCATTAAATTGAGTACCCATAATATGAGGTGCTAACTAAGTGCACAGTAGCCAGTGCTACTGCGCAGTAGCAAAGACACACAGTCTTTCTGTTATGCTTAATGCAGTCTACTGCACATTAGCACAGCTTTTGCCATGATGCGCTAATGCATAGTAGAATTTGTCTACTGTGCATTAAGCATCTCATGTAGATGCACCCACTAGGTGGTAATAGAGCAGATAAGAGCTTGTTTGCCTTAAGCAAATGGCTACTCTGGTAAGTTAAGATACATGACACATATACCAGTGTAATTTATAACAATAGGATTTTACCACTGATTTTTCCTTAGGGTAATTCTACACCACATTTGAGTAAGTTATACTGCCACTGTAGTTTCATAGTTTCTAGGGTCAGAAGGGACCTGAGCAGATCATCGAGTCCAACCTCCTGCCATGGCAGGAAAGAGTACTGGGGTCAAACGACCCTAGCAAGGTGTACATCTAGCTTCCTCTTAAAGACCCCCAGGGTAGGAGCC